TCATCCTCATCATCCAGAATATCGACATCAGAATAGTCTGACACGTCCCGTGCTCTATCTCGACAGTCGGACTCCATACTAGTAGTTCGAATGATGCAGAGCCACCAGCATAAATTTTATCCAACCAAACACAAACATTCACAAGCGACTATGCCAACAACAAAGCGAGGATGAAAAAAACACATGTGGCCGGCGCAGGCGCACTTCAGATGAAGGCTAGCCACACTACATAATATGGCCCAGTTGCAGCGATTTTCGACCTTCGTTGCAAAATGCTTGTTTTGCGAACATTTTCAAGTCTGACTTCACTGGTGTCGTGATCCACGGAATACTCGTCCGCGGCCCGGCTTGCGCAGCAAAAGATGATTTGATTTGAATCTTTTCACACAGCGGGCTTTTTCACCGAAGGTCGAAAATCGCTGCAACTGGGCCATATTATGTAGATCTTCGACTCGTAGACTTCTGCCACTGGCCTGCCATTCAAGGCTGCTACCTTCCGCAAATTAACAGTTCCGGCCATATTTGGTGGATGGATGGACTGCGTGTCGAAGAACGCGGCAAATCTGCTGCAAAAGCAGAACGTCGCGCGCCAATTCCGTGGTAACTGTCATTAAAGGGCAGAGAATGCTTTTTCAGCCCCCGCTCTGCCGAAATATGCTCGACCCCCCCAAACAGGCGTTTTCTGCCGAAAATTCTGCCGGCATTATCCGCCAAGCCCTAGGGGGGGGGGGTTGCATGGTCAAGTAGCAAAAATAATAATTTGGTGCGAGAAAGGGGCGCTAGTATTGCACCAAATAATATAAATACGTGTAATGACTAAACCAGAAGGGAAAAAGAAGAAAGAGAACAATAATCATAACAAGCAAGTACTAGTAGAGAGGTAAAATTAATACTAAATGGGTCTCAATATCATCGTCACAGGTACTGTGTGGACCACAGCCATCTCTTTCGGATTAGATCCTTACATACGTTGACCTTGAAGGTTTGGAGGCGTCTTGAATGAGGTGCGTGAAGCAGGAGGTCCGCAGGCAGGTTGTTCCAGGGTGTGATGGCGAAGAAGGGGAAGGATTGCAGGAGGTAGTCAGAGGCTGTGCGAGGGGGTGTCCACTTCAGCTGGAAGGCATGGTGCGTCTGACGTTTTTGCCGTGTGCACATGCTAGCTACGGCAGGGGGCTTGGTTGGTGGCAGCATGGCCTTTACCTGGGGAGGCCCTGGAATGTAGTGCAGCTTGAACAAGTATGACAGGGCTGCCACCATCCGACGAAGCTGAAGACTTTGGAGGATGGTTCCAGGTCCGAGGAAATGCAGGGCACGTTGCTGAACCTTGTCCAGCTGGGCCATGTTAGTTGCGGCTGCGCTCGACCAGGCCAGTGGGGCATATTCAAGTAGGGGTAGTCATAGCCCAAATTTGCTAGCAATTCTTTGAGCAAAATATCGGATGCGTAAGTTTCCGGCAAGTTTTGAGCAAAATATCGAGTTTTGGTGGGCTTTTCGAAAAATCCAAGGCTTCTTAGGGACTTCCTCAACACAATCAGTCATCGAGGTTGAAAACAAGCACAAACGTTGTAGAAAACAGACTCATGGCTACATTTCAGTGGAAAGTTGAGCAGCAGCAGGAGCTCAATCAAACATATCGTCGTCATCAGCGACAATTATCGTTGAGTTTTCCGTAAAACTCATTTCATCTCGAGCAAAACCAAAGCAAAATATCGACGGAGAAAGGAAATGCCAAGCAGAATATCGAAATATTTGTGGCACAATTGTGCGGCAAAATATCGATGTAGGCCGAGCAAATTTGGGCCATGACTAAGTAGGGGTCGCACGAATCCCTTATAGGCCGTCACTCGACCATGGTCGTCCAGGATGGGTGCTGCCTTTCGTAGGAAACCCAGCCTTTGGGAGGCGCGCAGTGCAACACTGCGAGTGTGCGCTCTGTAGGAGAGAGTAGGGTCGAGCATGACTCCCAGCAGCTCCAGGGTATCTGTCTCCTGGAGTGCTTCACCTCCAAAGGTGACTGGTGGAGTGCAGGAGGGAACGTGCTTGCGATGTAGAGTCATGCGCTGTGTCTTGGCTGGCTCAAAACAGATACGCCACTTGCGGCCCCACTCCTCAAGACTGTTGGGGGACCCTTGGAGGGAGGCAGTGGACTGTTGGAGATCGGTAGTTGGCTGTACTAAGCTGTAGAGTGTGGTGTCGTCTGCAAAGCTGTTCAACTGCGTTCCTGGAGTTAAACATTGTTCAATGTCACAGGTGTATAGAAGGAAGAGGCTGGGTCCTAGGATGCTGCCTTGGGGGACACCAGCCTGGATGGGTTGAGCATCTGACGTCTGGCCTCCAACCACAACGCGGATGTTTCGGTTGGTGAGGTAGTCCTGTAGCCATACAAGCAGGCGTCCGTCGACGCCGGCCTGCTTTGCTTTCTACAGCACTCCTGTGTGCGATACCCTGTCAAACGCACCGGCAATATCCACGGCGAGGACCTGGACACAACCGCCAGTACTTATGGTGTGGACCCATTCATGTTGGAGAGCCGTTAAGATATCTGCAGTTCCTCTACCACGTCGGAATCCAAACTGGCTGTTTGGCAACACCTCATGCTTCTCTAGGTAGTTGACCAGTTGCGTGTTTACAATGCCGTCCATGACTTTCGACATGATCGTTAGCAGTGATATTGGTCGGTAGTTAGATGCCAAAGATCTGGAGGACCGTTTGTGAACCGGGACTACATGGGCACGTTTCCATGCCCCAGGTTGCACACCGGCTAAGAAGCAGAGGGCGAAGAGCTTTGCCAGTGAAGCCGAGACCTCAGGTCGGCGGAGATGCTCCAGTTTCACCACCACAGTTGCGCCTGCAACCACCTCTATCAGGCAGTATTCTGTTCTCGAGGTTCGTGGTTTCTCGTAAAAAAAAATGGGTCTGCAAGTTCAGATGAGCACATCTTGAGCACACGAGCAGAGATGCCATCCGGTCCAGTTGCTTTTGATACAGCCAAGTTCGCCAAGTGCCGTTTGACCGTTGCTGCGCGGTAGTGAATGTGCTTTAGCGTGGCATAGGCAGGTCGTTGCAGGTCAGGCAGGTCAGCAGCACAGAGGTCGTTATTGCCAAGGCTACACTTGTTCGCAAAATGCGCTGCAAAGCACTCGGCTTTCTCACGAGAAGAGTGGAACTCTTGTCCTGCAGGGTTGGTCAGCAGGGGAATTTCAGAGCAACGTCCCTTGCCTGCTGCGCTCTTGATGGTTGATCACCACTCTTTGTCCCGGAGGGAACCTGCAGTAAGCTTGTTGCGAATTCTACGTTGATGTGCTAATCGCGCTGCATGACACGCTTCCACTTCGTGGTTAACAGTTGTGATGTACTGGACCTTGTGGTTATCGTTGCGGGGATCGCGTCGCCACAGCTTCCATGCCCGCTCCTTGGCATGATTGGCGTTAGAACAGTCCGGTGTCCACCATACAGGGTTGGATTTGTGTACCACAAGCTCTTTGGATCAGGTATGAACTGTTTCATTCCATGCATGATGACATCAGTCACGCGCTGACAGGACTGCTCCGCACACCCATGGATCTTGGCGGGCCAGTCTATGTTGCGGAGGTAGGCTCTCAGGCGGTGCCAGGCAGCAAGGGCGTATTTCCAAACCTGTCGAACAGCAGGATCTTCGCGTCGTGGATGCTGGTGTAGAAACTCGGCAATGATAACGGCATGATCAGATCGTCCAAGTGGTGCATAGGCTGTGGTGCATACGGGGTGTGGGAAATCGGAGATGATAAGATCGAGAGTATTGTAGCCGCGGGTTGGCTGGGTGACATGCTGGACAAGATGATGTGCTGCGCAAACTTCCTCCAGGCATTCACCGGCTCGGGTATAACGGTAGTCTTGCTACTCTGTAGCCAGGCTGAATAGGGCTTGAAAGTGCTACGTCACAGCATAGCAACAATTTCAAAAATTCAAAAATTGGATCCACTTGGATCCAGTTTTTGTATGGATCCAAGCACATTTCAAGCGGTCTTACTCACAGCAAGGTGATGTAGCCAGTGAAACTGACTGATTTGGCTAGTGGGGGCGGGGTGACAACTGGTGGCGAAGTAAAAGTCACACCTGCATACGACATGAGTGGGTTGCTATGCACCCACATACTGAGGCAATAGCATGCAAAGTCACACCTTAGTGGATCCAAAATAGAAATCTGATGTCAACTTAGTACTCCCTGGCCGTTTTTGACGTCATCACTTTCAAGCCCTATTATGCACGTTGAAGTCCCCAGCAATTATCACATTGCTGCCAAGACGGCGGACATCATCCAAAGTGTTGTCTAGGTAGTCCATCAGGCTGGTGTCTGTCTCTGCACAAGAGCCAGGCCGGTAGAGCGCACCCAGAACAGTCTTTGTTCCGGAGTGCATTGCGAGGGAAATCCACAAGAGCTCGTGATCACGGCAATCTATATCGTCGTGGTGGGTAATGGATAGTTCACTCCTGGCCCACACTGCCACACCGCCACCATGGGCATCTCGATCCTTCCTTATAGGGGGTGAGTATCCTGGGACGGTCAACTCATGGGAGGAATTATCTGAGCAGAGCTTCGTTTCTGTTACTATTGCCACGTCTACATTATACTGCAGGATTGCATGCTGCAGGGCACCTATCTTGTTGCTCAGGCTGAATGCATTAGTCACTAGCAGTCGCAGAGGTCTGGAATCCATCATTGGGCATGAGAGGACTGGGCATCCTGCTGGGGTGGCTGCGCACCATGCTGGTAGGCATCGGCGGCTAATGCTCGTTTTTTCACAGTATAAATATAATGCT